GTTCAAGTCCTAGACCTGCAGGCTTGAAACTCACGCTGAGCACATATGTGTGCATGTGTGCATGCCCAAAACCGAAGAGAAAGGATTGTGGCATGGCCATCCCACCAGGGGGTGGTTTCTCACTTTGTCTCTTTTTCTCTCTCTCTGGTGAGTTCATGTACCTTTATAGGAAAAATCTCTCCAAAAAGAAAAAAGAAAAAAAATGCACCCCCCCCCATCTAACAAATTTTGCAGTGTAGGAAGGACTAAGTCAGGAACCCAGGACTCTGTCCTTGTCATGGCAGCAGCCTACTAACCAGTTGTGGTTGTGCAGCTCATGAATCCGAGCTCAGCTTCCTCTTCCATGAAATAAATCTGATGATCATCTCTGCTTTCCTTCTCCAACCCAAAGAGCCTACAGTTTTCATACAAAGACACTGTACAAATTTAGCAGATAAGGAAGGGGCTAACTATTAAGTAGAGACACTTCAGCATTACAGATTATGGAAACTGAATGGGCACCACACGTTTATGACCGAAGTCAGGAAGTAGCAAAATGCTTAGCTGAGTCAAAGGATACTGCTATTTTTTTTTTTTTTTTGAGAGGTTTTAGCTATAGGGCGCGTGCGCTCACCAGAGAGACAGACAGAGAGACAGAAAGAGAGAAACCAGCCCCCACGGGGCATGGCCACGCTGCAATCCCTTCTCCTCCGTTCTCCTCTCGGGATCTTGGGCACGCATGCACATGCACCTGCACCTGGCGTGAGTTTTAAGCCACCGGGTCCCAGACGTGAACTGCAGTCAACTACATGGGAGTCCAGCGACATAGCCATTACACTAACTGCTGGTCCCAAGGATACTGCTATTTTGAAACAGAGAAGTTTGCCTGGGCTAGAGAAGTCCCAGTACTGGCAGAACTGAATGAATAATAGAAATAAATGGGATTTCTCCTAAACCTCTCCTTTCAGAACACTCATTCTCTATCTCCACACACGAACTAACTTTAATTAAGATAGGTAGTTATCACTGACCTTTAATGAGAGTAATGTAAAATGTACACTCAAATATTTTAGAATATTGCTTTGTGTTAGCAATAAACATTTTATACTTAGCATATTATGTGTTCCTGTTATCCTTTTCAGAAGTAAATTTACAAAACAAAATTCCCATAAAACTTAATGTACATTTAATTCAACACTTCTTTCTACAAATATTTTTCTGAAAAATATTTAACTCATTTAAATTCAACATTACGTAGAAAGCTTTTGTGTTTAAAACGTGAATTCATACAAACTATTTTATTCGACCTTCACATCCTGCATGGTAGAGGAGACAATATTATCATGCTAAGAACTGTGTTAGAGATAAGGAAAATGAAGTTCCAATCGGAAGTTAGATGATTTCCCAGCATCACGAGGGATGGGAAATGAGACTGCCTAACTTTTCATTATAGCTGATGAAGATCTTTTAAAATTATGGTTGGTGGGACCAGCAGATGGCATAATAGTTACATCACCGAACTCTCCCGTAGCCAACCGTGGTTGGAGTCCTGGACCCAGTGACTTCAAACTCACACTGGGGGCGTGTGCATGGATGTCCAAAATCCTGAGAGGATAATGGAGAAGGGATTGAGGCATGCCCATCCTCCCGGGAGGTGATTTCTCACTTTCCGTCTCTCTCTCTCTCTCTCTCTGTCTCTGTCTCGCACATGAGCCCTATAGCAAAAATCTCTCCCCCTACCAAAAAAGAAAAAAAAATTATGGTTGGAACACCAAAGTGTGTCTATCATGTTCAAAGAACTGAGTAATTAAAATTATAATATAGTATCTCTGGTAAACAGAAAATGCCTACAATGGTTTAAAACAATCCTCTTAAGTTCTTGTTTCTTTTATTTATGCGTTATGGTTCATTTATAATACACACCACAGTTCTCAGCAGATTCCAAGTGAATGTTATTCAAACACACATAGCACCTCCCCCCAAAAAAAATTATGGTTGGTTTTATCAATTTGAATAAAAATAACAAAGGGTCAGCTGGTGGCATGATGGTTATGGCCATGGACTCCTACGTGGCCAACTGTGGTTCGAGTTCCAGACCAGGGGCTTGCTTTCTCACTTTCCCTCTTTCTCTCTGTCTCTCTCTCTAATGAGCACACATGCCCTATAGCAAAATTAAAATAGTAATAATAAATATAATTAAATAATTCTTTTTTATTTTGGAGAGATTTTTGCTATAGGGCGCGTGCGCTCGCCAGACAGACAGAGAGAGACATAGAGATAGAAAGCGAGAAATCACTCCCCAGGGGGGATGGTCATGCCGCAATCCCTTCTCCTCCATTCTCCTCTCGGGATCTTGGGCATGCACGCACACGCGCCCAACGTGAGTTTTAAGCAACCGGGTCCGGGACGTGAACTGCGGTCGACTACGTGGGAGTCCAGCGACATAGCCATTATGCTAACTGCTGGTTCCCTTAAATAATTCTTTTTTAAAAGTGACAAGCAATGCCCAACAATGCTGATATGAAGCAGAAACAAAATAGCAACTGTGTGACTGGCACAACAGAAAGCAAGGGTATGAAAAATGTTTGCAGGACATTTTCTGCCCTTCAGGATGACTTCCTATCTTTTACTATAAAATAAATAACTTGGGATTAATATGTCCTTGTGTTCCTCTATTTCCTATTTATATTACGGCCAGCTTATCTAGTTCACATTACAGGAAGGTGCAGAATGTTCAGATGAAGATTGGGAGGAAGAGATCAGAAGGCACAAAACTGGCTAGAATTTTCCCAGAAGAGATCAAGAAATGGGGGGAAAAGAACAATTATGAGGAATTCATGATAGATGTTGGAGAGAGGGGAAAAGAGGTGATATGGTTGCTCAAGCACTAAACTCCTATGTGGAAGACTTAGTTTTGAGTCCCGGATCTGGTGGCTTGCTTTCTCACTTTCCCTCTCTCTCTGCTTCTCTCTGGTCAAATTAAAATAATAATAATAATAACAATAATAAATAATTCTTTAGAAAAAGTGAGAAACAGAAAAGATAGTAAAAAAAACATACTTCTAAAAACATTATAAATTAAGATTCAAGTGGACATTTTTGCTAACACAGAATGATTTAGACTATCAACACTAACTGTGAGGCTAACAGCAAAGATCCTGCCATTTTTTTAAAACAATTATTTTTCTTAATTATTTAATTTTATTTATTCACTCATTTATTTTAATTTGACCAGAGAGAGACAGAGGGAGAGAAAGTGGGAAAGCAAGCCACTAGGTCCAGGACTTGAACTGTGGTCAGCCACGTGGGAATGTCCAGTGCCTTAACCACCAGGCCACCTGCTGGTTCCCGACCCTGCCATTTTGAAGCTTATACTTAACTGGTAATTTGTTCATTTGAAGATTCAAGAATATATGGAGAGGGCCAGCAGATGGCATGGAGGTTAAGACACTGGATGGCACATGGCCAACTCCATGTTTCAAGTACTGTACTCAGCAGCTTGAAAAACACACCAGGCACATGTGCATTCATGCCCAAAATAAGGAAAATGGAGAAGGGATAAAATGGAGGAGATGGCCATCCCCATGGAGGGTAACTTCTCACTTTCCCTCTCTGTCTCTGGTGATCACATGTGCCCTATGGTAAAAAACAAAAAGAAAAATAAGGGATATAAGGAGAGAAATTACTTTATTGACCAGTAAGTATATATTTCAAGTTCGTGAATTCAAGGTTACTTTCAAGGCTAATTAAAGGAACTGTCTATTTATATTTAACCCATCTTAAAAACTGACTCATCAGAAATCAATATGTTTGATGACACTCGGTTTTAACTATCCTCCATATTTCTTTTGATTTAATATTCATCATTGCTACAGAATAGATGGCAAAACTATCAGTCCTATCCAAAACCTTAGAAAAAGTTTTTCTCCATTGAATGATAGAAACAGAATAAAAATTCTGAAAACTATGGAGAAAAAAAAAAAAAAACAATGAAAATACATATCCCTTGTCAGAGCCAGTATGAAGTGTGAACCATCTGCTACTTGCTCCATATACATAGCTGCCTCTGAGACTCAGAAGGAAGAGCCACATGAACTAATTTGCTTCCTCCTCCACAATTTGAATCAGAGCAAAAAGCAAGAGGTATCTTGTTGATAACTGACAGTAAAATATCAAATTACATCAACATAGTTAACCCTTAAGGAGATATTCTTGACATACAACTTATTTGTATTTTTTTAAATAATTATTTAACTTTATTTATTTATTTTAATTTGACCAGAGAGGGACAGAGAGAGAAAGAGAGAGAGAAGGAAAGTTAGAAAGCAAGCCACCACGTCGGGGACTCAAACCACAGTCGGCCACATGGGAGTCTAGCACCTTTAACCACCATGCCACCTGCTAGCCCCAACCACTTATATTTACTTAGTTTTTTTTTTTTTTTTTTTTTTAGTTTTATTACCAGAGGGCATGTGCCCTTACACACTGGGAATAAGAGTGAGACTGAGAGAGAAAGAGAGAGAGAGAGCAAGCAGAGAAATCACCCCGCAACAGAATAAAGTTATGCCACAATCCCTCTTCCTCTTCTCCCTCCCATCCCAATTCTGGACATGCAAGCATAAATGCCTGGCATGCCTTCCAGCTGCTGGGGCCTGGACTCTCCCACTGGGGCTGGGACTACCCCAAGAAATTAGTGCTGGGACATGAACCATGGTCAGTCATGTGGGATCTGGCTTCCAGCACACAGCTCTCAACCACTGTGCTACAGGGCCTGCCCTATGTTCAATTAGTTTCTACATGTCATTGTCCCTGAGGAAAAAAAATGCAATAATGAACAATTAGTTATTTACAAATAATTTTAAATTTTAAAATCAGAACTGGGGTCCTGGTGTCAGGTAGGAAAAAGTATGCCTGTATTAAAAGATCTTAAGTTTCTGACAGATTACAAAGCATAATAAAATGTAAAGCATTAAGTAAAAAATACTTCATGTGAAATTCACAAAATAAAGCAAAAAGGGGCATTTGTATGTGTTAAAATAATTTAATTCTCCCTGTACATTTCTGTTCACTCAAGCCAACAGAAATCAAAAAATACACACTTTACAATATTTACCTGTTTTGAGACATTCAAGTCAATTCAGATGGCAAAAGTAGAATTCAATCACTAGTGAAATGTTTAAAAAATATATATTAAACAAAAATGTCTTTACAAGATAAAAAATAATCTTCCACAATGTAATAAATTGCAGATCACTGAAATTTTAACTCTTTAGATGATTTCAGTTCAATTTTTGGTTTCAGTATCTAGAGACAGTCAAAATAAAAGTGTTGGCAGAATTTCTATCTGTTTTTACGTTTCTCTTTCTTGCTCCGACTACTTGTTATGCTGCTTAAAGACGATGATGAAGGTGCTCTTGCATGACCTGTGGCCTTTAGATGGTCAAAAAGTTTATTCCGAGATGGAAATTCACTATGGCAGGTAGTACAGCTGATAAGAACATCACTCTGAGAAGGGGGAAAAATCATAAATAAAAACAAGTATTATCATCTGAAAGTGCTGTTCTGTCTTAATGTCGAGATTAAACATTTGCAAGGAATAAACAATTGCAAAATTAAAGTTTTTTAAATAAGATGGACAGTTACCAAAGCAGGCTCAACAAAGACAGATGTGCTTGGAAGTAAAATCCCAGTAACTAACATCATCAGCTGTAAGGATGCTGAAACTCAATGCTCTGGACTGAGGACTAGAAGAATAGCTGTGCTTCAAAGCCTTCAGAACGTGTACATGAAATTCTTATCACCAGATTTAGATTGCAAAAAAAAAAAACGGAATAGTAACTATTCCAGTACAGTCTAATATTTCCAATGTGTATTTCTTTCTTTAAAAAAATGACAGCAGTCATATACAAATTCTGTTATTTAAGCAAAATTGTTGATGGATTAATACATTTGTAGATTCTAAAGGAACAGGCTCACCAAATTCACATTTGCCCTTAGAATACTAGAGTGCTTAGCTTGTAGGGTCCACTGAAGAGATGTGAATATGGTTTTAGCTTACCACTGTGTTTCTTTTTTTTTTTTTTTTTTTTTTTGGGTTTTTGCCATAGGGGGCGTGG